TGACCTCTGATATTGGTCGCTTCTTCTGCCTTACCGGAGGGAAGTTAGGATCCAAGCTCAGCTTGTGGACAACAACTTTCAATGGAATACCTGTCATATCTGAATGCGACCATACAAAACAATCAACGTTAGATTTTATAAAATCCATAATTTTTAACCTGAGTTCGAGACTCAAACCCGTTCCTAAGTGAAACTTCCTTTCTAAGAATTCTTCGAACAAGACCACTTGTCCAAGCTCTTTTGCAGTTGATTTGGTCGCATATGTTTTCTTCGGTACCTGAAAAGACCTCGGTACCTGATAAAATTCCGATGACTCTTCTTCTTTATTATCTTCAATTGAGGTAGAAGAGGTCACTAATTCCTGTAATTACTATTTGCTCGTTTCTTTAACCTTGCTACTGGAAATGATCACTGCGTTCATTTTCCTTGCAGACGGTTGATCTCCTCTAATCTGTCTGATCCCTTCTGGTGTGGGAAATTTCAAGAGCTAATGATATGTTGAAGGTACAACCTTCATTTCGTGTATCCATGGCCTCCCCAGGATCACATTATAACCTATGTCTCCATCTATCACTTCGAACAGGGTGGTCTTCGTTACCCCTTCGGCATGCGTGGGTAGCAGAATTTCTCCTCGGGTCATAACACGTATTAAGTTGAACCCCGCTAAAAGTTTTATTGCCGAAACTATATTTCCGGTTAACTTCACTTTCTCCAGAACTCTCCATTGTATGATGTCAGCTAAACTTCCTGGATCAACCAACACACGTTTAATATAGAAATCTAAAACATTAAGAGAGATTACCAAAGTATCATTGTGTGGGAGAATAAGTCCATTAGCATCTTCTTCTGCAAATGTGATGTTATCTTCTGATATCTCTCGGATCCTCTTGCCATGAGCTACCAATATCTTTGTCTTCTTTGCTGCCGAAATGTCACCCATTTACTTTATCTCCATCGAAGATCCTATTTATCGTCATACGAGGTGACCCTGCAGCCGGTTTTGATGGTTCTGCAACATCTCAGTTTCTCCCATAGTTTTTCTTAGCGCGATCACTTAAACACTCTCAGATGTGACCATTCTTCAATAATGTTGCTACTTCTTCACGAAGGTGTCGGCAGTCCCCCGTCCTGTGTCCGTGAGTTCCATGGAACTCACACCATAGATTAGGATCCCTTTGGCTACGATCCGATCGGATTGGTTTCGGGAGCCTAGCTTCTTTAATATTCCTCATAACCGACACCAATTCTACCAAGTTGATATTAAAATTATAATCGGATAACCTGGGATATGTTGAATCTCGGGACCCCGATACCTCTTTCTCCTGCAATGATCTATTACTTCAACCACGATCCGCCCTTCTTCGGAAGCGAACCTATTCGATGACTGAAAACCATTATTTCCACGTACATCGGCCCTCTCGTAAGGTTGAAAACGACTTCTAGAGGACCTCCGATTTTCTTTAAAATCATTTTTAAATTTATCTTGATTCCAATCACGATTCCGTCCTTTGGAAGACACCGAGGAACCCAGTCAATCATCTTCTATTCTAATCTTTGACTCATAATGATTGTGAACTTCTGCCAATATGGTTGACTAAAATTCTAGCAAGCCTTTATTTAGTTTCTGAGAGGCATTGGAACTCAATGGGTTGAGAGCCTTTTCAAATGCCTTCGCTGCCTACTCATCCGGTACTGCTGGTAATAGCATCCTTTCATTTTAAAATGGGATCACGAACTCTCGCAACAATTTGGATTCTCCTTGGGATATTCTGAATATATCTGCCTTTTTTGCTTGAACCTTTCTTGCTCCAGCATGAGCTTTGATAAATGAATCTGCAAGAATTTTAAAAGAATCAATGGAATGCTCAGGTAAAAGAGAATACCAAGTTAAGGCACCCTTTTTCAGGGTTTCGCCAAACTTCTTCAACAAAATAGATTCGATCTTGTGTTGGGCCAGGTTGTTTCTCTTTACAGTCATAGTGTAGGTTGTGATATCTTCTTGTGGATCTGAAGTCCCATCATACTTCAGAATATCTGGCATTTTAAACCTCTTTGAGATTAATTCTAGAGCCGCACTTGGTTTAAACGGCAATTGCATATATATTTTAGAATCCGATCCCTTTAACACCGGTGGCGCTCCTGGGATCTGATCCATCTGAGCATGAAATGCCTTTGCCTTCTGGTCCATTCGCTCATTTATTTCTCTCATGAATCTCATGAGCTCGGTTTTGAAAGGGTCGTATGTGTTGTTGACGTTCCCAGATCCACTACTGGTACCTCCTACCTCGTCAAAACCAAACTCCTCCCTTAGAGCGTTGTTACTGGTTCTTTGGAATGTTTGCTTTGCAGGGATGCTAGGAGGAATCTGAGCTCTTCCATTAGCATTATTGGAAGCAACCGATAATGCATGTTTCAACTCTGTCATCACCTGATCTTGTCTTGAGAGGTGATCCATAATTGCCCTTTTGTTGCTCTCTCAAGATTTTGACCGTTTCAGCAACATGGTCATCATCCAAATCACCAGGAGTTGGACTCCTCACATGTCGAGGAATTTGACTTTTGCGAACTGGAGTTGTTTCATCTCTTTCATTGCAGGTTTCGCTGGTTGAATCATCACGTTGGAACACGTCATCACATTCATTATGTTGTCCAACATTATAGGAATTGTTGACATCATTAACGGCCATATCTGATTTTTCTTTTGCTAAGAAAAAAATCAAAATTTGTTAGTAATAGATGAATGGGTCAAAGCAATTACACAATTATCTATGTCCCAAGGTGGGCGCCAAACTGTTTACACGTAAAACGGTACAGTTGAATTTATAATATGATTTATTGACACGTGAATTAATTTGATCCAACAATATGAAATAAACAAGAATGAAATTAAGAATGTAAAAATAACTTAAAGAAATACAAGCATGCTGGTATGATGATCTTCTCCGGAAGCAGTAGTATGAACAATATTAAGAACAAAAGAAAGAAAATAATTTTATAATTTGAGAGTAGAATATAGCCTTTGTGTACAGAATATTTTTCGTTTGCAATAATGGGTGCTAATTCTCTTATTTATAGCTATGTCTAGGGAGACAAGATCCTCAAATCAAGCTCCTCTTGACTGAGAATAAAACTGTCATTGATGGTTGCATAACAGTTGGCTATACGTGCAGATATTCTATGTAACGGCTACTCATTGAATGTTATCCGACATCAATTCTTCAAATATTTGTTATCTTTTATCATGTTTTCGGAATTCATCCAGCACCGGTCACATGCTTGCAACTGGTATCGACTATTTGCTGACTCACATCCTACCTGTCTTCAGCTTCACGTGTCACCTTCTCATTCATCCAACTGTCACTAACCAATTTTGCCGCATACAGAAACGAAATGTTAAAACTCAAAATGAGGGATTGCGATGTATAGTGGCAACCCCATCTTCACCTAGCCTAGCCTAATAATTAAAATTTCCACTTATTATCCAAAAATTAATATCTTCTAGTAGGTAAAAAATCAACCTGGTAGGAATATCCCAACCCATCAAAACTCTCGACCACCATTTATCCTTTAAAAGAATTTCATTTAGAATCCATGCTTTCAACAGTGGATCTACTATTTTCAAACCCTAAGCAGTAAGAAAACAAACCAAAATGATCATTTTTCAAAACACTGCGATGTGTTTCAAGGAAAAGAGAACAAAGATGCATTCCATAAAAATCTAACAATCTAGTATTTTTTACCATAACTGGATTATTTTTCTTCTACAATCAATGTCACATACATTAAATTTGATGTTGAAATTATGAAATTATTTTAAAATTGACAAAGATCTGGTAAAAGAAAAAATTGCAGAGTTCCCACAATATACCTATTGTATACTATAGATTTTATATACTCAATGTAAACTTAAATGTATACTCGCGTATAACTCAGTGATTTGATGTTGAAATTGTGAAATTGTTTCAAAATGGGCAAAATCTTCCAATAAAAATATCACAGAAATCCCACAATATACCTATGTCTACTTTTTAATTTTTTTGTGTGTACTCTATGTCAACTCAAGGTATACTTATTATATACTTAGTGAAACTACAATTATACAGTGAATATACACTAAGTATACTTAAGATATACACTAACATTCCTCCAAAAAATTAAACACTAATCCTTCCTAAAATCGAACCTTTACAAGGCCTAGTCAATCAATTTATGACCAAGTTATTAAGCTATAAAATCAACATTTGACGTATAGAATAGGAAAATTTTTAACCCTCACTATTTCTTTAAGTCAATATTATAATTTGCAGGTATGAAACTTGTGTTACATTGTTAAATTTATAAAAGGGAACAATATATATACAATATAAGTTTCTATATATACAATATAATTTTTTATATATACACTATAATGTTTTGATAAAGGGTGTGGCCACCCTTCAAAGTATGTGGCTGCGCCACTAATCATAAGTGCTTGTAGAGATTCTTAAAGATGATCAAGTAAAGTGGATGATGGGATATTCAGGGAAGGTAAATCTTACTTCTTGATTCATTACAGAGTATGAAGTATCAAACAAGGACAAAAATTAGCAAAAGGAAAAAGATATAAAAAGAAAAAGTAAAAATAAACTATCTACTTTTTGTCAAGCTTATTAAAGAAGAAGATATACAGCGTGACACACTTTTTTGAAGATCGAAAATAGTCGTTGGAAGCCACCTTGACCACTATTAAACATATCTTGCGGAAGGCAAATTAATATGAATATTTTGCTGAAAATAAAGGTCATAGAGATGAAGAAGATTTGTGCTACGGAAAAGTTTTAAAAAATAGAATAAGAACCTTTTGGAGTCAATTTTTTTTACTTTATTTATATCAATTTGATAAAAATCAACACTAAATTCGGTTGATATACAAAAAAAACTAATTACATATTAATTAAGTTAATAATTTCAACTTTTCGCAAACATTTAGAAAGCTTTTGAAATTGAAGACAAAAAGGGCCCTAACTGATCTGCAATGAAATGCTGGAGTAATTCATAGAATTCAATTTCCAGCCTCTTATTGAAAAGGCAATGGCTACAAATGTCATTGTACTTCCAAACTGGATAAAGTGATAAACCCTTATCGTTGAGTTGCTTTACTCTTATCTTCATTGACTCACATTTCCCCTGCAAAGTACATCTCAGGCCTCTCACCTCAGTTGGTTAGAAAATGTCTACCCTTTCATCTTTCACCATATCCCCAACTTTCTTGCACAACCCCAGAAATAGAAACAGAAATTCCTCAATTCAACTTCCAAACTTGTCTCTTAAACCACAAACAGCGCGAGTATGCTTATCCACGAGAATGAATGCCGTTGAGGAAGAAGAAATTTCAGTCTCTACAGCGGACCCCTCTTCGGAAGCCGCCAGGCGACTTTACATTGGTAACATTCCTCGCACACTCAAACCCGATGAGCTCCGTAAAATCGTTGAAGAGCACGCCGCCGTCGAGAAAGCCGAGGTACTTCGCAGGATAAACAATTTTCACACCGAACCAACAAATTCATACATTTGTCTTTACATGTTAACGGACTTTACATATGTGCCACGATTTCCTTCCAACGTAGCATCATTTGGTAGATAAGTAAATTCTTTTACTTGGTATGGGTACTCTAAAGAGATAAGTGCTTCAACTTTTACTCGATCATGATATTTAAGATGGTGGATACGAACTTTAACAGCGTGTTTGGATGGTTATTATGTATCGTTTCATATGTATCGTATAGTATTGTATTGTACTGTATTGTTTTGATGTATATAATGTTTGGATAGATTGTATATTAAGAATAAAATTGCAATATTATAAAGGAAAAGTAAGTTACGAGGTAAAATTATTATATAAAAAGGTAGGGTAAAGGATAAAATAGGATTATTTAATACTAATACATAAGGCCAAGATGAGAAAAAAGATAAGATCACGATGCGACCGCACCAAATCGGTCGTTCCATAAAGTGATATTTTTCGTCGTTACATTTAACGATACGATATAATAAAATTTAAGTAACAATCAAAACAAACATTGTATTTAAAGTAACAATACGATACAATACAACATGTAACAATCATCCAAATAAATTGTTTTATTTGATAATTAAGAAATCCCTAAGGTGAGCTGATGCACGGTTCAAACTCAGTAGATAATGGCCTGCTCCCCTACCCTTCTCCACTTAAATACCCAACCTTTGCGAGTTCAAAATCAAAGGGTGCCGAATGAACTGGAAAACTTACTTACTGGAAAACCATTTACACAAATTCTCATATGCCTATTGGTGAACACATTTGCTGGTCTAGTTAGAGTAAATGGGAGTAATTTGGGGAGCCTGTTTAACTCAAGAAAATCTCCAGAGAAGAGGTTTTTTCCTGTCTAACAGGTGCTACTTATGCGAGGAGGATCAGGAATCAGTTGAACATCTTTTTCTGCACTTTAGAATTTCTAGGTAGTGTTGGGACCTTTTTCTGAGTATCTGTGGTATCTCTTGGGAAATACCTAATAGCCTAAGGGGTTTACTTGAGTGCTGGCAAGGGCAGAGGATTCAAAAAAACTTGAAGCAAATTTGGAATAGTATTCCTATTCCAAATTTCTAGAATTAAGAACAAGTGTTTACAGAATTTTTTCTTATGGATCTTATGGCTGGAGAGGAATAGAGCTTGTTTTGAAGGACAAAGAGACCATATTTCTAGAATTAAGAACAAGTGAATACAGAATCTTTTCTTATGGTGTAAGGGTAGTCTTATTGGTAGCAGAAATGAGTTATGGATTTCTTGGACTTGCTAGGGGGCAGAGCAGACAGTAGATGTAGTCTTTATGTTCTAATCTGCATTCCCTTTGTTATTGTACTACTTGTACCATCTTGGTACCTTCTATCAATAAAACTTTTACCATTTCACAAAAAAAAAAAAAAAAAGTTATTAAAGAAGATAGTAAATGGATATTGTGAGTGGTTGCTACACTTGTTAACAATTTTTCTGTTTTGCATTGACAGGTTATGTATGATAAGTACTCCGGAAGGAGTCGTAGATTTGGGTTTGTTACGATGACAACAATTGAGGATGCAAGTGCTGCTGTTGAAAAGCTTAATGGCACTGTAGGGGCATACGTGCTTTACAATTTAACAACAACCAAAATTAAAGTTACTGAGTTTTGTTCTAGGAAAGGATTGACTTATTGACATGTTCCATTTTCTTTTTTAATTCTTGAACAGGAAATTGGAGGTCGTGAAATCAAAGTAAACATAACTGAAAAGCCATTGTCTTCTGTGGGTTCGTCACTTCTCCAATCGGATGATTCCAAATTTGTTGACAGCCCTCACAAAGTTTATGTTGGTAATCTAGCAAAAAGTGTAACTTCAGAGTCGCTCAAGAACTTCTTTTCTGAGAAGGGAAATGTTTTAAGTGCAAAGGTTTCCCGGGTTCCAGGGACCTCAAAGTCTAGTGGATATGGTTTTGTTTCATTCTCTTCTGAAGAGGATGTGGAAGCTGCAATATCATCTCTAAACAATGCGGTGAGTTTATTACTTTTATATTAGATACACGAGAATTGGTTTACTTTGATGCAAGAAAATCCTATATTAGTGTATGGGTTTGTTTCATTTTCTTCCGAAGAGGATGTGGAAGCTTACAATATTATCTTCTAATGATGCAGTAAGTTTATCACTTCCTATTAGTTAGATGAGAAATGGCTTTCTCTTATGCAAAAAATCCTATGTTCATCAGAAGTAAAAGATGACAACTTTTATTTAACATGCATTGCTAGTCTTATGATTTTTCTTGAAGTCTGTTTGAGTTGAATTAATATGTGACTAAGCTTGTGTTTCTCCTTCTTCTGCAGCTGCTTGATGGACAGAAGATTCGTGTAAATAAAGCATAAAACATAACACACCGTGCACTTAACCAAATGCCATGGAGATTTGGTATTTTTGTTGGAAGCAGAGTCAAGGATCAAGTTGAGACATTTATAGGCTTTAGAAGGTTACGTCCTTCTTGAGCTTCGTTGATTTGGTATTCAAAGAGCTTCAACATACTGAATACTCGTAGTTGCTTTGCTTATTGGGCTGAGATGAAAATTGTTGTACATGATCATTTTCTGACATTTGATGTTGTGGCTACAACTTTACCACATCACTTCTTACAATTTCCTATTTTAACAATTTGTCAGCTGATTGTTACTTTCTAAGTTTCATATAAAGGGCCAGCTCGCCGCATGTTGAGATCTTGGTTTGGATCATAAATGCCCCTAAAATTGAAATACTTGGTGATATTACGTAGTAGTCGTGTGGACATGCATTATTTGCAAACATTGAAATATTATAAGCAAAACAATATTTGTTTTATAATTTTGTCTACTATTTCAATTTCAACTTGAATTAGAGAAGTTGAAGTTGAAAAAACTTGTGTGAGGAGTATTTCAAGGTGAAATAATGGTTTCCACTCACAAAGTATTAAAGGAGTAACATAATATGTACATACGGGTTGATATGTAAATAAGCAAAGTGTAGATGTAGTTTTGTACTTAATAAAAGTTAGAAATTGAATTAGTTGTATATATATACTAGGTTCAGAATTTAATATTTAGTATATTTTTAACACATATATAAGGTCCGAATTAATAGTTATTCAATTCGGTCAAACCAGTAACATATATGCTAGCTCCACCCCTGCATGAGAAGTTCACCTCCCGAAGAATAATGACAAAGACCATGCTTCCCCTAAACCTTAAATTAGCAGAATACACTTGAAAAAGGAAAAAATATATCTTTTTGAAAGCTAAATGATATGTAAATGAACTTCTTACCACTTTCAATATATTTAATCATCATTGGGTTATTTTATAGTTTTCCATTATATAAAACAAATTAAGTATATATCTTGGCAAAGCTGGTATATAAACAGTAAAATTGAAATGACAGGTTAGATCTACTCTAGCACTAATGCCAAATTCACCTGGATAAGAAAACTATGCAACTAAAGAGCCCGTTTGGACATAAGAATTTTTTCACTTTTTTCAAAAAAAATTAATTTTTTTTCGAAATCAGTGTTCGGCAATAAAATTTTTAATTTTCACTTAGATGAATTTTGGAATTTTTTAAAAATTTGAAAAACTCCAAAAGACTGTTTTTCAAAATTTTCACTCAGAAAAACTTCAAAAACAATCCAAAATTAAATTCATGTCCAAACACAACTCTAATTTTCAAATACCATTTTGAGTTAAAAAAAAATTTCACTTTTTTTTTAGAATTTTACAATTCTTATGTCCAAACGCCCACTAAGTTTTAGTCACCTTTCTTCTTAAAATTTCGGTAAGCTTTATTTTTGTTGGTGGGCTTGGAATCAGTGGTGCCAGTGGCTTTAGGACTTCCAACAAGAGTTAGATCATCACAGGCAATGATTTAATATGTATGACAAACCTTATTTTGGTTATGATAAATAATACTACTATATCATTTAAGCTTGTTGCGGTTCAACTTAATTAGGTAAATGCTACAAATTATTCCGACAGTTATGAACATCAGTCAGAACATTGGAGTAACGTAAATATTACCTAATTCTAGAAGATAAGATTGCTCATATTTGTTTAATTCTCAAATTTTAATGTTTAAGTTTTTATCAAGTTTACAAGATTTATAATACTTCTAAAAAAGAGAATGGATCAAAAGCTGATCTCCCAAATCAGACCATCTTTGACTATTTTTAATGTGACTTTTAGTTTCCACATATAATTTCAAACAATGGTATACAAAAATAGAGGGGAAGGTCATGGTTGTCATCAATACAAACCTAAAGAGACGTGGTGATCACGCCCAACTATGCCTTATAAAAAGGACTAAGCGGTCGTTGCAAATATAATCTGGTTTATAAGTCCGGAGTCGAATTCCACAGAGAACTAAGGCTTAGCTACAGTTATTCAATATTGCAAAGAAACACAAGTTTGAATAATTTTCTAGTTATAAAGATTTGATTTTTATTTCTACTAATTAACTAGCAAATATTATAAAGCAGTAAAATTATCAACTAACATGGATGAAATTCTATACAAGACTAAGGAGGTCTAGAGTTGTGATTTCCTCTATTGTCGGAATCTTTTCCGCTACGTTTTCTACAATTTTTCCTAAGTCTTCTCTATCGACCATGAGCACTCTAACTGTCGTAACTCTCTCCCAAGTAATTACCACAATTTACTAGACATATTCTCCCGAATTACGCTAGCTAGTATTAAGCACAGCTCACTCAGATCGCACCAAGATTTCGTTATCCCTAAACCCACCTTTAAACCTCCGTATTGATCCCTCATATACGTTTAAGAGTGATGTTGTTCAACAACTATCTAAATATGCACTCTCTCCCGAGTAATACATACTAAATAGGCACAGCTAATTGAGAGCCCTTCAATCAACCACAAGAATAATATAGTTGAACAAATAGAGAAAATACTACGGCAAATCTATATTAACATAACAAGAAAATCATCCTTCAATAGGTTCCATCAAAACCCTAGATTAGAAAGTTAGCTACTCATACTCATAGTAACAATATCCCAAATATTTTGCATAATTAAAATACAGAGTAAAGATGAAAAGATGTAGAAATAGATGATTCTAACTCCCAAGAGGTGATTCCACCAGCTCTCCTTGCCTCTAGCTGCCCAAAAATGTGGCTGCTGATAGAACCCTTTTCCAAGTGGTGTTTTAGGTCTATTTATATGTGTAGAAGAAACTCTAAACGTGTGGGCCGGGTCCTAGTCAAACCCGGAACGAATTAAGTCTTCAAAACTCGGATTGGAGGTGTGACAGAGTCGCACCTGCGACGCCGCACCTACGGAAAAATCCATCGCAGGTGCGTTTCCAACTAAGGTCGGGCAAGTCCGCTTCTGCGAAGAAACATGCGCACATGTGCGTCCACTCCTGCGGAACCTTGGCGCACCTGCACACTCGAGCCTGCGAAAGGGCCTCTGCTTCTATGACCCCAGACCTGGCTAGCCTTTTCCACATCTGCGATGACCATGGCACATCTGCGTGTCCGCACCTGCGGCTAAATCCTCCGTAGGTGCAATGACACCAGAATAGCAGCACCTCAGCAAAACACTAAGTCCAAAAATGATCTGATTTCAATCTGATTCAAAACCGAGGCCCCCGGGACCCCGTCTAAATATACCAACAAGTTCCAAAATACATAATGGACCTACTCGAGGCCTAAAAACGTATCAAACAACATCGATTCTACGAATCGCAATATAATTCAAGCCTATTGAAACTATGAACATCCTACTTCCAAAACTAATGCCGGTTCATACCAAAACAACTCCGATTGACCTCAAATTTTGCACACAAGTCATTAATAACATAACAGACCTATTTCAACTTTCGGAATCAGAATCCGCCCCTGATATCAATAAAGTCAATTCCCGAACAAACTTCCCAACCTTCCAACCCTTCAACTTCCTAACTTTCGTCAATTCAAGTCAAAACGACCTACGGACCTCCAAATCAATATCCGGACACACTCCTAAGTTTGAAATTACCATACAGAGTTATTGAAACCGACAAAACTCTATTTCGGAGTCGTCTACACTAATGTCAAAACTACGGTCAACACCTTCAATTAAAGTTCCAACTTAGGGACTATGTGTCCCATTTCACTCCGAAACTCACCCGAAATCAAAACCAAACACCCCGGTAAATCACATAACTAGAATATATCATAGAGGAAGCAATAAATAGGGAAACATTACTACAATACTCAAAACGACAGATCGGGTAGTTACAGTCACATATTTGGAATCAGAGAAGAATGGGTAAAGGAGAATTGGTCTTAATTTCGGATTTCGACCATGTGGGCCCGAGTTAACTTTTTATTTCAAATGTGATAAGAATCAAACCTGGTTGGTTAATGCATTCATCAACTTAATTTATTTTTTTGGTGGGCTTCTTAAATTAGAATTTTAAAATTAAAATCGTAAATCTCTAAATCTTTAAGGGTTATATGCTAAAATTGAGAAGGAAGAATGATAAGGAGTGATGAAATTATAAAACTAGAACAGATTTTTAAAAATTGAATAAATTGACTGATGATTGAGAACTTTTATGATGTAGTTTCTTCTTTTATTGAGTTAGGTACATATAATCAACATTTATCGTTTTCAGGAATATAAACTTTTATTATATAACTTAGACATAATATTTTAATATCATACTTATACGATCTTTATAATTGTTTTTACCCATTGAGATAGTGTACACGTACAACACGCGTATTATAAGGCTAGTTATATTAAAAGCACGAAGACCCTTAGCGAAATGTCCTTTTTTACCCTTAAAAACATATTTTACTTTGGATAAAATTGTAAAATCAAAAACTTCCTTATATTTAGGATTTCTAAATCAAAGAGGTTTTTTTCTAATATAATTCAATGTTTGATATCTTCTCCTAATAAGGATACAATATATTAAGACATAAAAGATTACAAAAAAGTAGAAGGAAAGTTTTTTCTTGGTTTCCAACCAGGAACTTCACGTTTTTGTGTGATATTTTTGTTCTTTGTCCTTGTTTAATCATAAAGACCAATTTTGCCTTTATTTTCCTTTCATATGATTTATTTGTTGTTTTTAAAATTTAAATCATAAGTATTTTTGTAGAAGCTTAGTTGTTAACTTCGTTAAAATTTACTACGGCATTAGGTTTTGAAATAGTATTTATTATTGGAGAAAATAGTAATCATTAGTTTGTGATAAGAAATTCAATTACCGTAATTTAATTTACAGAAATACCTAAATTATCTCAATGCATATTCCTGTTAAATAGATGGAAAAGGACTATTAATGTTTGTTAAAAAAGAAACTAATATCATTACTAAGAAAGCATATTACATAATTTAACTTTACAAAACGGGAATTAGTTACTAAAGTCATCTTGTAGCTAATATGATTTTTTTTTATAATATGTCACTAATTCTGTCACTAAATAGAATTAACAATGAATTTTTATTATTTAACTACATTATTTATCTATCGCTAATTTTTCTTCTTTTTGTAGCTAAATTGTCTAGAATTCATGATACCTAGATGACTATTTTCATACGAAATTACTATTAAAGAACGAGATACATAATAGAAAACTAAACTTTCAAAATTATCTTAGTTGTTTTCATGCTTAGATAGGCCATCCACTACTTTTTTGACTAAGTAGGCTCAATATTTGTCATATTCAAGAGCTTATATTTTTAAAAATCTTATTTTCAAGGGATTATATTTTTTATAATTTTATATGTATCGATAGAAGGTACACGTGCATCACGCGTATCCTAAAATTAGTAGTTTTAAAATAGGGCCAAAGTGTTTGAACAAACTTAGGGGATAAAAACATAAATTAGGGGTAGGGGATGTTAGGTTGGGGGGTAGGGGGTAAGGAGACAACCGTTGGCTGACGGTACAGAAACGACCAGATTTTTTTTTAAAAAAAGTTGGGTACCCGTCTGGTACCAGTAGCGATACGATACCTTAAGGCACTTATGGTACCTGTACTAAGGGTATTATTTCGGGTACCTTACCATTACCCTTACGCTTCACCCAAATCTCTCACTCCTACCACCAATTGGAACTAGGGGTGGGCATTCGATTTTCGATTCGGTATTTAAAAACTTCGGTTCAGTATTTCGGTATTCGGTTTATCAATTGTGTATACTAAATACCGTACCAAAGTAGTTCGGTACGGTTCAGTATTTCTTACTTTGGTTCGGTACGATTTCGATTTAATACATTAACGGAATAGATGATATAGATAGAGTGGACAATGGACCGGACATTTGGACACGATGTGCTACGCTAGCTGCAGCCTACTAGACAATACTAGAATTTATGTTTGATATGATATTTGGAAGAAATAGAGTAACAGCAAAAGTGCAAAACTAACATTCCAAGCATCTGCCATCTATGATCTAATAAGCATCAGCAAAAATCAGCCACCTAACGAAATAGAGTAACAACAAAACTTCAAGAGTCTCTATTGAGTGGATCAAGCAGTGGACAAAATCATTGTTGTAAAATGGAGAAAGATGGTGGATCGTCCGAGCTAAGCAAGAAAAAGAGTGTTGTTACCTCAACTGTTTTATTGTCTCCAAAATCTTCAGTGAAGAAGGTATCAAGCACAACATCCAATAACAACTCCCCAAGAAAAGTATCTCAACTTAACGGTAGGACTAGTCTTACACCAAGCAAGACTGGGCAAATCAGTCACGCAAATGTGATAAAGAAGACCTTAGAGAAACAAAGAACAAAAGCCACTCTTTCCAGAAAAATAGTAATGCCAAAGAATCCTCAGAGATGGTCCAAAACTAGGGAAGACGACTTGCCTCGGATAGAGATGGTCCAAAACTTGAGAGAAGTCTAGGTTAGAAAATAGAAAGGGAAAGGGGGTAAGACTTAAGAGCACATATTGCCCGTAAGTCTGGGTGTGGGCTTATGCTTATTGGGTTGGAAAATAAAAAAAAAGTTGGGCTTGGACTAAAATATTTAGACATTTCGGTATACCGAAATATCAAAAATTCAATACCGTATACCGTAACAAATGAAATACCGCAATTTCTGTACCGAAATATATCAAAATATCAAAAAAATCGAAACCGAAATACCAAATTAATTCGATTCGGTTCGAAATTCGATTTTTGGAATTTTATATCCACCCCTAATAGGAACGGTAAGATCCGGTACTGGTACGAGTGCGGACAGGTACGAGTACGGGTATAACCTGTCCCTTAGACAGCACTATGCTATCTGTATACAATGAAGACGTTGTGATTTCAAGAGTTAAGTTGTAACCTACCATTAGCAAATATCCTTTTTCAGTCTTATCAAATAACCAAAGTAGGAAATTTTAAAAAGAAGAGAATAAACGAGTGTTTCCTGTAGCAAAACCCAAAATCGGATCCAATCACCTAAATTGGTGGTGACGTGCGCCGTTAACGCACTAAAAAGGAATTCTCCCGCCAAGCAATTAGCAATATTAATTAATAAAGTTGTAAGATCCAAAGCAATCAAAATTCTTCTTCAATGGAGCTTCCGGTGATCGATCTCGCACCCTATCTGGAGAAAGAGTTGGATTCCGAAATTAAGAGTCTGTGCTGGGAGGTGAGTCGAACCCTAAGGGAAACTGGAGCTTTACTGGTGAAGGATCCAAGGTGCACCGCTCAAGATAATGATAGGTTTATTGATATGATGGAAAACTACTTCCAACAGCCTGAAGAATTTAAACGCCTTCAGGAGCGCCCTCATCTACATTATCAGGTACCTCACTCCAAATTCAATTTGCTTTCCACCTCTTTGGAATTTCTAATATATCCAAAACTTATGAATGATTTTATGAAGTGAAAAACTATTGACGCTGCTCAATTTTGGGGTCAATTTGTTTCTATGCACATCAACAGGTCTCACATCATCCTATCCAAATGTTGTTGTTTGAGGTTTGAAGCAATGTGATTTAAGATAATCACTTGAAATTCCAACAACATATGACCTGGTTTTCTCTGGCATGTTTCCTCAAATCAGATTGACCATCTTACTAGTATTATTTTCAAGTCTCAAGTACTGATTTTAGCTAAAGTACTAAAGGGGGCATTTTTTTTTACTCCAATTTGACCGTGTTTAGGATTGGTTGTCTCGAGTACCTAGAAGACATACTAGTTGGGTCTGGCAAAGGCAATGAAGTACAACCCAAGCCTAACTTCCTTCCTCCAGATATGTTAATATGAGAGGCTCGAGGCTCAAGTCCACAGCAACCCAACCACCTAGTCTCTAGCAATCTCCAGCTTCCCTACTATTGTGAGGAAATTAGGGTCAATGAGATAATACATGGGTTTTATGCTAAAGCAAACACTTCTCGCTTTGTTTGACAGCTTATGCTTTTACCTAGATAGTCTAAATAATGTGGCCAGTAATAACTAGCATTTTCTTGGGTGAAATTCTCGCCTCATCTGAGAGTTTTACTTGAAAAACCAAGTTGGTTTAGTTACTACATTCTCCATTTTCTGCATATCTCTAATGTCAAACTGGCAAGTAAAAAATAGCCTTTTCTCGCGTGATCTTGTCGCCTCATGAGATAATTTACTTGAAAAAAACCCCGTTAGTTAAAATCTTTATAAAAAACCTGTTGGTTACACCCCACTGTTTGGATTTATCCAACACAAAAGGAAACTATAGTACTTTTTGAGAATGATTAAAGCTTTATAAACAGAGCAGAAAGATTGTGCCAAAAATTACATAAAGCTCAGGCCCTTTACATAACTGTAGGAAGCTGAGAAAGTCTATCATCCTATCTGCTGTAGTGACATGATACATCTATGCATCAATGTATGAGTATGGTGTACTCTTTCATATATATAGTGCAACCCAATTTTTAACTTTTACCTTCTTTTTGGAAATGGAGATACCCAACTAACCTAAATAATAAGAACTTCCCCCTTGACAATGGTATATGTTGTATATGTGAATCCTAGATGTGGAAATATACAGAATTCCTCTATGAATCTATGAAAGGTATAAAAAAAGAAAAAAATGTTAAAAAAAGAATAGGCTAGGCATAACTCAATATGCTGATATTGAAATGAAAAATTAAAAAAGAAGAGCTAATTAGATACTCATATATGCTCTCAAAACATCTTTGATTCCGCTCCTTCCAAATCACTCACCAAATGCACTCAGGTAGGGTTTCCCAGATTTTCCTCTTTCTCTTTCCAATGCCCTTGCCAGTCCAACACTGTTGCAGCTGTTTAATAGTTCTAGGCATCACTCAGCTGAATTGAGAAAATATTGAAGAACAAGTTCCAAAACTAAGAAGTGATGCTACAGTACAATAAATGATTAGCTTCCTCCTCATTCTCTCCACACAGTAGACATCTATTGCAAAGAGACAAATCTCTCCTTTGCAAATACTGTTGCGTCAGTATGCCTCATAAGCCAGAGTCCAACAAAAGCAGGCAACCTTGTATGGAGCCTTCGTCCTCCAAATCTGTTTTCATGGCCACACACCATGAAACTGCCCTGAATTCATGGATGAAAACTGAAACTTGTAACTGTGAAGATACTTTTATTAAGTGGAGCCCAAATCAGCTTATCTGGTTCCTCTTCCTGGAATCTAAAACTGCCAAGTGCTTGAAAGAGTTGAGATACCTTTTCAGTTCCTAGTCATTGCAATTCCTCCGACAAACAAAATTCCAACCACTATTTGATCTACATTCTACGTTGTGCCAAAGCTTGTGTATCCTTCACCATGCTGTATAATTCGGGGAAATCCTCCTTTAGAGGAGAGTGTGTCAACCATGCTGTGAGAATGCACGGAAAAATATATTATTCACATGTATTGACCATGATACAATGAGCCCTATATATATATATATAATACATGTCCTACTCCTACTACATATGGGATTAGGGTTATTTACTACTATTTAACTACCAAACTAACTCTCCCCCTCAAGCCGGTGCATATAAATCATATGTACCGAGCTTGTTACATATATAACTAATACGAGGACCAATGAGGGACTTGGTGAAAATATCAGCAAGCTGATCATTCGACTTCACAAATTTTGTAGCAGTATCTCCTAAGAGTATCTTTTCTCTGACGAAGTGACAATCAATCTCAATATGTTTAGTCCTCTCATGGAACACTGGATTTGATGCAATATGAAGGGCTGCTTGATTATCGCACACAAGTTCCATCAAACTGATTTCATCAAATTTCAACTCCTTGAGCAATTGTTTGATCCAAATTAGCTCACATGTTGCCATAGCCATTGCTCGATATTCTGCTTCTGCACTAGATCGAGCAACTACATTCCGTTTCTTGCTCTTCCAAGACACCAAACTGCCTCCTACTAAAACACAATATCCAGAAACGCCTGTCAGAAGGTGATCCTGTCCAATCAACATCTGAGTATCCAACGATCTGCTCATGGCCTCGATCCTCAAACAATAACCCTTTGTCTGGAGCCGATTTTATATACCGAAGAATGCAGACAACTGCATCCCAATGACTATCACAAGGAGAATCCATAAACTGACTTACAACGCTCACAAGAAAGGAAATGTCAGGTCTAGTCACTGTGAGATAATTTAATTTACCAACCAGTTGCTTATATCTTGCAGGATCGCTAAGCGGCTCCCCCTGTCCTGGCAGAAGTTTAGAATTCGGATTCATCGAAGTGTCAATCGATCTACAACCTGTCATTCCTGTCTCCTCAAGAATGTCTAAGGCATGCTTCCATTGTGATATCACAATACTTGAGCTAGACTGAGCGACCTCAATACCCAGAAAATACTTTAGTCTACCCAGATCCTTAGTCTGAAAGTGTTGAAAGAGATGTTGCTTCAATTTAGTAATACCATCCTGATCATTGCCGGTAATAACAATATCGTCAATATAGACTACCAGATAAATACAGAGACTCGAAGCAAAATGCCGATAAAACACAGAGTGATCAGCTTCACTCCGAGTCATGCCAAACTCCTGGATAACTGTGCTGAACTTACCAAACCAAGCTCGAGGAGACTGCTTTAGACCATAAAGTGACCGCGCAAGCAACATACAAGGCCACCAGACTCCCCCTGAGCAACAAACCCAGGTGGTTGCTCCATATAAACTTCATCCTCAAGGTCACCGTGTAGAAAAACATTCTTAATATCCAGCTGATAGAGAGGCCAATGGCGAACAACAATCATGGATAGAAATAGGCGGACTGTTGCTATCTTAGCCACGAGAGAGAAGGTATCACTGTAATCGAGCCCAAATATCTGAGTATATCCCTTGGCAACAAGGCAGGCCTTAAGTCGATCAACCTTACCATTCGGACCAACCTTGACTGCATACACCCAACGACAACCAACAGTAGATTTACCTGAAGGAAGAGGAACGAGCTCCCAGGTACTACTCGTATATAAAGCAGACATCTCGTCAATCATAGCATGTCGCCATCCTGGATGAGACAATTCTTCACCTGTAGACTTAGGGATGAAAAAAGAGGACAAAGAAGATATAAAAGGATAATAGGGTGATGACAGACGATGATAACTTAAACCGACATAATGGGGATTAGGATTAAGTGTGGTCCGTATACCTTTCCGAAGTGCAATCGGTGTACTAAGAAGAGACAAGTCCGCAGTAGGAGCAGGGTCAGGTGCAGGACGTGAATCAGCTGGGCTTGATGCTGGGCGCGGACGACGATGATAAGTCAAGAGTGGTGTTCCTGTGGCTGGGGATCTAGGAGGATCCACACTAGACTCCCCAACGGTTGGAATGGGTAAGACTTCTATGGCGGAAGGTGAAAGACGAGCTATAGTAAACTCCTCAAAGGTCGGTATAGGTAAGACCTCAGATATATCAAGGTGGTCAGAAGAGGTAAAGAAAGGTTTAGACTTAAAAAATGTGACGTCAGCTGACATAAGGTATCTACGAAGATCAGCCGAGTAACAACGATATCCCTTCTGAACACGAGAATAACCAAGGAAGACACACTTGAGAGCACGAGAAGCTAACTTATCTTTCCCAGGGGCTAAGTTATGAACGAAACAAGTGCTCCCAAAAATACAAGGGGGAAGAGAGTATAAGGGTGACTGGGGAAACAATACTGAATACGGAATCTGATTCTGGATGGGAGATGAAGGCATCCGATTAACCAAATAACAAGTTGTGAGAACTGCATCGCCCCAAAAACGCAACGGAACATAAGATTCAATGAGAAGTGTGTGAACAGTCTCAATGAGGTGCCTATTCTTTCTCTCTGCAACCCCATTTTGCTGAGGGGTATAAGGACAAGAAGTCTGATAAATAATTCCTTGAGAAGTCATAAACTGCTGAAATTGAGAGGATAAATATTCTAAGGCATTATCGCTGCGAAAAGTGCGAATAGGAACATCAAATTGATTTTTGATTTCAGCACAAAAATTCTGGAATATAGAAAACAACTCAGAACGATCTTTCATTAAGAAAAGCCAAGTACATCTTGAATAATCATCAATGAAACTAACAAAATAACGAAATCCCAAGGTTGAACTGACTCTACTAGGACCCCATATATCAGAATGAGCTAAAGAAAAAACAGACTCTATATGACTCTCAATACTACGAGGAAAAGAGGCTCGGGTATGTTTTTCGAGCCGACACTACTCACAATCTAATGTAGATAAACTAGACAAACTAGGCACCATCTTCTGAAGCTTGGATAAACTTGGATGT